AGTACTAACAAAGTCAAAATTTATTTGAATAAGAACAGCATTCAGAAAGGATTCTGCAAGGAAAAAAAAGCTTTCTGTATATATATTTATTTTACAATTATTAAATTTTGCATTTTTAATATTCATTACGAAAGATTCTTGTAAGTAATTATTTTTGGATGTATGGTAAAATATCTACAAGAAATGTTGCCATAGCTGTATGGCAAAGGTGTACCATGGCCTATGGAAAAATGTTTCTTTATAAGATGTGGCACATCTTAGTTTTATGGCAAAAATATGCCATATAAAAAAAAATGCCATAGGATATTCCTATGGGGTTTTGCCTATGGTAAAATTTTGCCATACACTTTTGCCATATACGTATAGCAAAATTTTGCCATAAATGTATGGCAAAAATATGCCGTATAAAAAAATGCCATAGGATATTTCTATGGGGTTTTGCCATACGCATATGGCAAAATTTTACCATAGGCAAAACCCCATAGGAATATCCTATGGCATTTTTTTATGGCAAACCTATGGTAAATTTTCCTAAGGGAGCTTTTTTCTATCACAGTTTATCTAAAATTCAGGCGTTAATGGACTAACTTTATTTTGTAAATTACGTTTATTTTCTAAAGAAGAATAAAATTTCGATTTTTTGATGAAACAAAGATATAGAAAAGCATTTAGAGATACTATGAGGCTTCTTCTCATTATAACTGGAATTTGGATTGAACCCAAAACGGTTTTGAATTTTGAAGAAGCTGTCCGATTAAAAAAAGCATGGTTATTAATAATAATGAGTATTATTTTTTATATTTATAAAATTTTTTTTTTAAGATTATATTATAGCATAGGGCGTGAAATTTCAGTTTCAAAGATGTTAGCATATCTAAGAAATTTGGTTGCGACACATTTGCTTTCGTGAAAAATTTGGAATTTTTGTTCCTAATACGCTTTTAAAACGTATTAGGAAGAACTTTAAGGTGTGTGAAAGCAGAGCAAAAAACTAGTAAAAAGTCAATAGACTATTTAAATTAGATCTAAAGTTAACAAATAACTAGCAGAATTTTTAAAAAAGGAAAAAAAATATGAAACTCATTCTCTCAGATGGAAATTTCACTCCCTGATATTGTATTATGAAAGAATTTTGAACATTCATTTATTTTTAACAAAATTGTGATTTTCGATTCCTTAAAACGTTCAAGCTGTTTCTAATTGTTATCTTTATTTTATATTTTTTTAAGCATAATTTAGGTGCGAAAAAACTATACTTACTAATAGTGAATTTCAGTTTGAAGCTCGGATCAAGATATTGCGAGCGATAGTCAATCTTTCGTTTACCAATAAAATAAACACGAACGTCAGTTACAGCAGTAATAGGGTTTCCAATTTTGTCTTTCTCGCAGAAAATATAGTTATCGGTAGATTCTTTGCTAGTGATTTCTAGCTTGTTGTTTGTGCACTCCTAAAAGAGAGAAATGGTTATGAAAAATTGAGTATTAACATGAATTTGAAAAAAACACGTGATCTTAAAAGTAATTATTTAAAAATCATTTTAATAGGAATTTTTACTGTCTAACCAAAACATACCCTTCAACTACTAAGGATTATCCGTAGCTTCTAAGAATATACTGCCCCTCAGTAGACTGATCATTAAGACACGGTCTCCAGCAGATCATCGAAGTCAAGCATCACTGGCTGCGACCAGCGTGCGGGTGGGTGACTACTTGGATTAGTCTGCGTTGGAACCGAGGGTGTGTGATATTGGTTCTTATTAAACTGTTCTACCGTAAAGTGCTCGACTTCGCATGCAGGTCGTTGGACTACCGAAGCGGAGGTGGAATTCCCTCTGAAGTGGTTCAAAACTGCTTCGGATCATTCTCACACATACATTGAGGTTTGTCTGCTCAATTACATAGGTATGGCTTAGAAGCCTTTGTCAAGTAAAATAGAGATAGTTCAATTCTGCAAAGGACAAAGGTACTTATGAAAGGATTCGAACTCACTACCTTCTCGATACAGATGATGCTTGGCGAGATCACTCGGCTAAAGAGGCCTCCCCCCACAGATTCTTTTTAAACACACTGCTCAAAACATTTAAAAGATATTGTATATTTTTTTACAACCTTCATTGAACAGTCGACTAAATTTTGGGTTTACGAATACTAATGTTTAACTCCGTAGCCATGTAAAATTGAACCCAATACAAAAGACAAGAGAACTTTTGAATCAAGTTTTGGGAGAAATTTGTTTTGATGGAACTAACCCACATTTGCTTTACATGGAGAGGAAGACCATGAGAATTTTCATGGTCAGCATGACGGCAAGGGGACTCTAGCCCACGACCCGTCAACAACTGAGGATTTGCATTATATGGACGAAGAGTCACAAATGCAAATGTTTCTTATTTTTAAACTTTGCAGTACGTAAATTTTGAGTTTCACGTCGAAGGCGATTCTTTAACGGTACAGAATTTGATTTGGCTTTCAACTTAATGTAAGACGAAGTGGAAAAAAATGATCGACACGCAGTAAGCGTGCTGTTTTGATGAGTGCGAAGTTTCTACGAAGACATTTAACCGAATAAGTAGCTTGGAGAAAGTTTGGATAATGAGAGAAGGGCCAAACACGAGTTGAAGCAGGAGAAGCCATTGTTTAACGAAGTGTGATTTTCAGGTTCTGGAAACGTTTTTTAGAGCCTGAAAATGCAGGTCAAAAATATAGACATGGGCTTAGAGGTGCAGCAATGCCCAATGCAGACCGTTATTTAACTCTAACGGCTAGGAGACATCGAAATATGAATGCCACTCTTTCTCACCTTCACTTGGCTACTGGCTTTTCAGTTTCCACACAAACTGTTCAAAACCGCCTTTGCACTGTAGTTCTGTATGCTCATCGACCAATGGTGTGCGTCACGTTAACGGAAAAGCACCGTCGCTGCCGCACGGAGTGGACAACAGAGCATGTGAATTGGAGAAATAAATGGCGCAATATTCTTTTTTCTGACAAGTCTAGTTTTTCTGTTCATCCGGATAATAGAGGTATTTTCATGTGTAGGGAACGCGACACTAGAAAAAATCCTGTGTTGTGCACGAAAGGGTAAGGTTTAGCGGTGGGGGAGTAATGATCTATGCTGGCCTCATCGATCTCCATATCCGGATGGGCTCATCGATCTCCATATCATTTGAAATGGAGCTTTGACCGGTTGCCGATTTAGAGATAAGATCCTGAAACCTATTGCAGTCCCTTACGCTTGAGCCATTGGCGATGACTTCATGTTAATGGGCGACAATTGCAGGCCACATCGTACTAACTTGGTGAATGATTTTCTCTTGGCGGAAGGAATCATACGAATGGATTGGCAAGCGTGTTCTCCGGGCATGAACCCGATCAACCATGTTTGGGACATTCTAAGCAGACAAATTGCAGGGAGCCTACCACCCCACAAACTCTCCAAGAACTGGAAAGAGCTCTTCTGGAGTTGAATAATCTCATGAATAACCTCATTGAATCGATGCCTTAAAGATATTCAACTTTTCTATCCGTCATGGGAAACCATACCCTTTACTAAAAGCGATTTTATTTTAAGGAAGAACCTTTTTTTATTCGATTTTCTCATTTGCACAAATTGTGTTTTTTTTCTTCCTTTTTTACCCAAATGCTCAATAGAACCCTTTTTTTGTGTGCCCAAAACCCACAATTCAATGTCCTTTAACTGTTTTGAGCAGTGTATAAAGATAACATCAGTGTTATTTGTTAGATATTAGCTCTCTTTTATCAAAAAAGGAGTTTATAGCACGTTATATTTAATAATTTTTTATTCATTGTCAAAATATTTTTCGTTGTATCAAATTATAATTATAAAGAACTATTAGCTAACTTAAACATTTTAAATGCTGAACTGTTTATGTTATTTACTATACATATTAATTACAACAATCTATTGACCCTATTATAAGTGTAAGTCAATTATAAATTAAAATATCAAAAATGTCTTCAAAGATAGAGGCTTTACTCTTAAATTTATTTGATTGTGTAATATATTACCGTAAATTGAAATGTAAGCTCTAAAATATTCAATCGTATAAATTGATTTGGTGGTACATGTATATCTATGCATTCTTCAAGAATATCTCTGTAATCAGGTACTGCAGTACTAGACACTTCTCCAGATATTCTTTTCTCTTCTCTACAAGATTTACGACGATTCGGAAAGTCATAATAAGACGCTGTAAAATAAAAGAAGAAACTGTAAGTAGTATAATTATCGTTAGTATTAACCTTATGTTCATTATTTAGTATTCATCTTACATACAGAATACGCATTTATGCGATACGATCTAAGCACAGATTAAGAATTTTAAATTGATTTATTCTACGAGGTAAATCTTTTAAGTAAATGTTGACTGCTTTGATTTTCAATGCAGTTTTTTTTAAGAAAAGAATTCTCTAAATGTTGGTTACATATATTTTGACTTTTATAAAATTACATCTTTTTCTTCTTAAAAAAGAATTATGAAGGAACTTGCTGATGCATTTAAAAGCATTTTGAGTAGTCAACTCGATATTCAATGAAATGTTATACATTGAATTAATTATTCGCCTATAATAAAATAAGTTAAATATATTTTTTTTATAAAATGTTATATATTGAATTAAATTATTGAGTGAAATTATTTTTTTACACATTGAATACAAATATGTTAAATATACTTTCATTCCTTTAACTATATCTTGTAAATATCTATATTCATTTAATATTTCAATAATTCCGTATTCATTTAATATTTCCATACAAATTTTTCCTGCTTTCTCTGCTTTATTTTTCATACATTTTTATTTTCAAACTATTCACTGAATGTAAGTTATATATACTTAATTGACTTTTCTAAAATTTATCCAACTTTTATTGTACAGAAAACAATTTTTAATGAAAAAATGTTTAAAAGCATTCTGAGAAGTTAATTTGAGTTTCAATGAAATGCAGTTCTTGTATATATTGATTTAAAATATTTTTATTCATTAAATAACTAGATCTTGTAAATATCAACTTCTTTTTCATTTAGTGAATCATCATCTATAATTGCTAATGATTCAAAAATAATTCTTAAACATTATATGTGATAGAAATCTTACGTTAAAATGAAAAACACGAATGTCTAAGGAATCGTTATATCCAGCGTGGTACATAGCCGTGGACGCTTGGTCGAGTGTCTAAGTCAAGATAAATACTGTTATACTAATGCTGTAATGATGTAATACTAGTCCTTGTGAAATACAGTTTCAATCCAGTTATTAACTTGATATAGGAAGACACAAATAGTGTTAAAAATCCCATCAAGTTTTTTTTAAGATGAGTATTGAAGCTGTAACGGCTACAATACACAATGAATACAATAAAGTTATTTTCTTTACAAAGAAATATTTCCTTTGATTCTTGTGAAATATGTTTTTGCCAATTACTGATATATGTGCACATTATTTAAATATATCGTAAATTTATTCTTATTCGTCATACCCATAAAATAGATGTCTATTTGTCATTAAATTTTTTACTGGAATATTAAATAGTTAGGCGCTAAAGTTTTTATTTTTATTTTCAAATCTGGTGATCCGCGCAACTAAAAAGGTTGGGTTTAGAGCAGAGGTTCCCAATTTTTTTCGGCAAAGGAACCATTTATGATCTATTTTCTTTTGACGTCTGCCTAATAAATTAAGTTTATTAGCAGTTGTGAATACATAATAACGATAAAAAAATTACTAATTAGTTTAACTCAAGTTTTTTAATTGGTTAAGAAATAAAAATTTTAAAATAAGGTTTCATGTCAGGCAGTTGAATTCATGAGTATTGGAGTGGTTCCTAGTTTTAATTCTGAATTTGTTTATGGTGCATGCATAAGCTGAAAATAAATGAAGTAAGCTGAATTATAGTTTTCGAAAAAAAAGTAGTTTTCAGAGAAACTGTTTTTCTTATTTCTGTTTCTCTGAAAACTGTTCTTAAATTTGGTTAGTTTACTTTAAGTTCGATGAGAAAAACTAATTCATACTTTTATAAATGCATACCCTTTTTGTAATTATTAAACAAATTGTAGGATTTTTCTAAAAAATACACTGTTTTTTTCCCATTGGAATTTTACTTTAATAATTTCACAAAAATAACCAAAATATTAAACAAATTAAGAATTTTTTGTTGATATAAATATACTTAGAAATTTCACTAACCCTTAATGATTGAAAAAAAATCCTAACTCTAAAGAACCCTGTAACACTTTGGTGGAACCTTTGGGTTCCACTGTGCACCCTTCGAGAAGCACTCGTCTACAGTGTTAGTTCTGTAAAAAACCGTAACTTTCAGAATGACAAGCGACTTCAAAATGTTCAAAATGAAACTACCAACTCTTTCCCCCCCATACGCAATCTCATTTATATATTTAAAGTATAGTAAAACTTCTGTTTTATTTTTAGTCAGTTATTTTATTTAGTGCTTGGAATAATAAACAAGTATGAAAATAAGACGGAAAAAAGGGGAAAAATTAGTAATAAACTTTAATAATAGCTGGTTTTCTGGCAGGTGTTTTAAATAAGCTTTTACATCATGAATTATTTCTCAATACTCGCATTTTTTCAAGTAAGAAACAACTGTATATACTTGTCAAAACTGATAAAATTTTTTTGACTGTCATGAATTTATTTTTCTTTCCGAGGAACTAGAATGAATACTCACTCGTTTTTGCTCTTAAATTTTGTCTTAAATGTTGCTTTCAGATCTGTTTATAGCGTTGATTAGAATGACTTTAATTAGAATAACTTTAATCAGCAATGTTATATCTTTTATTTTTAACAAAGATATATAGATAAAATAAGGCGATAAAATATTTTCTAAAAAACGTGAAGAACAACAAACTAAAATTTGCATATTTTTGGTTATTTTTGCCAACTCTTTAGAAGGGCTCACACTGTTTAACTGTAACAAAGTGGAGTAAGGCTTAGAATTATTTAGAAGTTGTGGGGAATAAGAATCCTGAAAATCAAATTTAATAAACCAAGAATCATACGTTAAAAGAATACCACTCGAATGTATGTATTCACTATTCGGAGAAAGTTGCTATCTCTGCTATCTACACATCTAATGAAACAAAGAATTTGTGCGTGTGTAAGTCTATGCGTGTGTGTCATTATACCGGTTGGAGGGAATACCGTAGGCACAAAATTTACGACATTTAGCATCAAGCAAAATGAGTACAATTATAAACGAACTACGAAGACAGTTTTCAATTTTTCATCCAGAGAAACTAAAAAATAGAATTTTTTCATTGGTTTATAGGAAGGCATTGACTTGAATTAATTTTTCAAAAATACAGTTCTGTGAAATATTTTAAACGTAACATCAATGATTGCTAGCTTATAGCTCTTTTAGAAAAGTTGTTTAGTTCGCGTTCTGTAATACGCTGCTCAAAACAATGAAAAGATATAGTAAGTCTTGTAAAAAAATTAAGCACATTTTTTTGTGTATGAATTGGAAGAAGAGAGCCACAAATGCAAATTTTTGTAATTTTCAGACTTTGCAGTCGGCAAACTTTGAGTTAGACGTCGAAGACGGCACTTTATCGCCAGCGAATTTGATTTTGCTTTCAACTTGGTGAAAAAAAAGTGGTAAAGAATGATCGACATTCAGTAAGCGCGTTATTTCGATGAGTGAGATGTCTCAACGAAGTCATTTAACCGAATCAGAAGAGTTGCTGACCGGTTAGAGATTGCCAACGTCTTTTGGATCGGACGAAATTGCATTGTTTAAAACCTATTGTTATATATTATACTTTTTCTAAAAGCTTTTGAATGGCTTCATCGATTGGCGTGATGTTTTCTGTTTCATTGCTAATATTTTTTTGATCATTTTGAGATATATTTACCTCTCTCTACGTTGAACTACTCGCATACAACGTTGCATTGTCATGCAAACAGCAACGTTACAAAATGTTTAAAAAAAATTAAGACGGCGAAATATCGAGAAAAATTGATGGTTGGACTTCAACAGTGGCAAGATGCATTAAACGTAAATTATATTTATATATATTATTATAATTATATATAATATAATATTCATATATAATATTATATTTTTCTTTAATCAATAAAATTACATGCTTGCGGCCTAGATCAGCTATGCTGTAATCAGTTGTGTGTATCAGTAATCCAGGGGATAAATATTAAGAAAAGGAAATTTTTTAACAACAAAAATCATCTCCTTTCAGTTTGATCCAGGTTTAAAAAGTTAAATAAAACTGATTAACAATCAAAAGTCCATTTTAATTACAAATTAACGCTGCATAGGATGCAAACCACATGAACACGTAAGAGATCGAAAAATTAATCATACTATCTCTTGAACAAAATGACATTTATAATTACACATAGTCTTAATTTTTGACTGTAAGATTTTAAATCTCTAAACAATTAAAATTGTACATAATTAAAATTTACAGCTGATCACCAGAGGCAGCTAGTAAAGAAATAAAATTACGCCAGATTAATAATTGTATTGGTGGTTCGTTCGAACGCTGATAAAATTTAGAATTTAAAGTAGAAGAAAAGAATTTAATAAATGAATCATATAAGTTTGTAAGTCTACAAGATAGATACTTTTAGATGAAATATCTTCAACTCGAAGAAAAACTACGTGTGGAATAGATGTGTCTAAATAAAATGGAATCAAAAACAATGCAGTTGCATTAAATATACTCATATTGATGAGATCGCTGTATGTTATTTTATCTGGTTTATATATACTTCATAATGAAAATTCTTGTTTCAATCATTAACTTTTTGCTTCAACAACCAAATATGTTTTGAATTTTTCACTGGAAAAATTTGTCACCAAAAGCACAGAACTTCTATAGAGTTATTCTAAATTAATCGATTTACAATTAGAGAAATATTAAAATAAACAGCAATGAATGATTAGATGACAAAAAAAACAACAATCTTTTAAAGTGCTAACAAAATTAAAATAATTCTGCTTATCTGTTTTACTTCATTACCAATTTAAATATTATGAGTTATTAAAGCATTAATGTTTAGTAATCAGTGAAATATATTAAACGTTTCTGTTATCAAATTATTGTTATTTGTTTTTACTTTCGTGTGACTAGTCATTAATTTACCATCTGGGAAAATCTAGAATCTTTTAAACAATTCAAATTGATGCATAGTGTTTAAAATGACAATAGGATAAAAAAAATCTTTAGAAGTGTTGGAAACTGAAGAAATACTTACACGTAACACAAAATAATGTTCCGAAAACAAAGAAAGCTAAATTCAGTTGAATCATTTTCGATCTTCAAAATCTCAACTTCGAAAGGGATAAAAATGAAAATCTTTGGTAACTGTCCTCTTACTTAAACATCACTGGAGATATGGAACATTTTTAATCACTGAGACAATCTAAATTTCGAATATCTACATTCAGAGAACATATTTACAATAGATCATGTGAAGTAAGGAACCATTAAGGGGTAGAGGTCAAATTATATGGTCTCTTACTATCATTTCCCCTTCTTTGATTGCCTATCTGTTGGGAAAAAATTGCTGGCAATATCTATAAAATAAATAAACCAGAGAGATACAAGGCAATAAAAATTGGAATTGATTAAGAATGAATGAAATGATTGTTTAGAAATTCAGTTTTTTGCTTGTAAGATTTCAGCAACTTTTCACAATAATCTATTGCTTTATCATTTATTATTAAACAAAAAGTTTATGGATACATTACGTTGGTCAATACTTTCAAAGCATAGCAAGCATGATGGAAAAAAAAGTTACTTATGAAATTAGAATTAATAATATGTAATTCAAACACCCGGTGCGTTTTTTTTAATATATATTTTATTAAAATATATTATTTTTAACGAAATAAAATCAATCCTGTTTATTAGATTAATTTTATTGGCCAGAATATAAATTCAACGCGCTATAAAAATATATATTTAAAGGACGTTTAAAAGAGCTTTTAATTATGTTGCCTAGTATCTTTTGAAAAGAACGCTTTCATTTTATCAATTAAAAAAATTATCGACCGAGTTTTTTATTATTAGGTTTTATTTGCGAATCGAATTAATTTTATCAAACACAATATAATAATAACATGAATAATTTTAATTCAGTGCAAAAACGAGTGCATTTTAAATTTAAGATGATATGTAACAGTAGCAAATATAAGTTTGAAAAGTCAAATATGTAGTAACACTTTTTTACTTGGGAGTTTTTCATATATCTCCCTTTCTTTCTAACTGGGCATTAAAATGTTAATGCTATTTATTCTTTGGAAGAAAAAAAACCATTTTTAAAAAAAAAAATGGATGCTAGGCACTAATGTGTACATACCAACCTTTCCTTTCAAGGTTTTCCGTAGAAATAATCAAATGACAGTGGTAGACACACTTGTTTCCTTACCGTTAGAATTAACCCAATGGTGACATACGATCAGTGAGACTACTGGCTCATTTCTTTCTAATAAACACAAAATAGTAGTTTCAAAAGAATGCTGCTTTCCATTTATTTCAGAAAGTAATACTGCATTGACAAGTGTTGACATCATATTAATGATGTTGTAGATAGTTATCATATTTGGTAACTTATAAAGGAGAAATCAATCCTCTTAACCTTTTCATATTAAATGTTACCAACTCCTTGCTTAGTTGCTAACTTTTAAGCATTTTATTTATAATTAAATTTATACATTTAAATTGAAAGTAAGATTTATGCTCCCTTTAACTCTCTTTGGATTTATAAATTTAGTTTTAAATGGATTAATATATATGAAAGTGCATGTTAATTATGCGTTATTACTTTTCAAGTCTGTGCCAAGTTAAAAAGATATTTCTGCTTGTATTTGTAATTAAATTTTTATTTTACCAATACTAGGGAAAATTATTCTTGGAAAAAATTAAACGTTGGCAGGTATGCATTTAAAATGTATTAGCTAATTGCTTTTGAACGTTTAGCAACCATTGTTCTTAAAACCAAAACAGAGCTGAACTAAATCACTTCACTTAGAAAGTACGGTCTAAGATCGCACTTGCTAGCGTATTGCTAAGAATTATGAACCGAAGTTTTTAGTTTCGGAAGTGGTTAAATCAAAATCTTACTACCAGTTTTTAATTTATCTGTTTCTATTTAATCTGGTATTTTAATTAATCAGATTCCAAGTAGTTAAAACATGGTGCAGCAAATGGCGCGCAAAACTACACCCCGACAAAGGTCAATTCCTAATCATAAATAGTAAGAAAAAACAACAAAATACTCCCCATATCTATCTCTTTATTACTGAGATCAAGCCAGTGAAACACGTTAAATACCTTGGCGTCACGATCTCATATAATTTGAGCTGGAATACTCACTTAAACAACACAATCAAAAGAGCCAGAGGAGCGTTTTTTGCGCTCAAAGTCCTACTGCATAAGAATTCAAAGCTTGATCTATCAAATAAAAGAACTATCTATTTACAAGCGATTCGACCAATTCTTACGTATGCTTTCCCAAACCTCACTACTATAAGCAACAACCTAAAAGAGAAGCTATCTACAACTGAAGGTAAATTTTTACGCACAATGACTGGCGCCCCAAGGGCGATTAGCAATAGATTACTCAGAAAAGACTTAAACATTGATGATATCAATTGCTTTATAGCTAAATTGACCACAAAAGTTTATGGCGACGCAAAAACATGCACCACATCAGATTTCAATAAGTTGTTCGATATTGATATAATCCGTGATAATTCGAATTTACCGCCTTTTTATGCTCAGATTGCATACTATCAAAATACTATTAACTTTATCACACAACTCTACTCAAGGGGATCTATCTCCCCATCCCAATGATGATTTTCACTTCTAAATTCAAGATTTACTTCTTTAGGGACTTGATTTATTGTTACAACATACTACAACTTCATTGATATTTAGGACCTGCTAGAATACGACAAAACAGATTCGATGAATCGGTTAGTGGCGCTTTACCCCAAACGACGAGATAACCCCAATATCCAGCATCCAGCATCGGATTCCAAGGCAGAGATGCTACGGACGAATTAAAATAGCAAGAAGTGGTAGACTCTCGTTTCAATTTAATTTATTCAATCTATTTAATAATTAGTCGAAACTACCTCCATGATTTACACTGCAAATTATTTTATCTAAAACGAAAACAATCTTCGCATTTGTCTTCAATAGAGCAATGCTAATAGAGCAATGCTGGAAAAGATGAAAATTATAATACCTTTTTAAATACCTTATTACTACTTTCTCCAGTTTTAGTAACCCCTGTTTTCCGAATTAAGTGGAAATTCCACCCTCTTTTTAACTACTTTCAGTGCTCAAATTTCATATAGAGTTTTGTACTTGGTTATAATATATCAAGTTTTGTACGTGATGATTCTATTGAAGTGCTGTCTGTTCGCTTCAAATAGAATTTATCGTCAAAGGAAATTCATCACAGTGGAAAAACAAGATTTTTGTTGTACAAGTACTTGATTTTACCCAAATTTGGGTATGGATGATTCAAATATGAAATCAGTTCTGTTTCACTCTCTATAGATTTTTTCAAAAGGGTATTTTTAGTTTGGTTTATTTTTTGTCTTTAAATACAAATTTATGTGGAACCTATATGCAGCAAAAAAATGTGTATAAAAATGTATAAATGTGTCTGCTCCTTTCAAAATATCACTTTAGATTTTTTTAAAAAAAGGAAGAAAAAAAACGACCTTATCGTATCACATCATAAAGTGAAATATATAAATGGTATCTGTAGTTTGGTTTATTTTTCGTTTTCATGTACAAGTTTACAAGTGACCTATATGTATATATACAAACATATATATATATGGCTGATTCTTTGAAAATATCACTTTAGCTAAAAAATGATCTTAACTTATCACATCATAAACTGAAATATATAATCTTCTTCCTGCAGAGAAATGGGTTTTCTATTTTAACTCGAGTGAATTTTAAAATTCAGATGAGTAAGATATTATTTAAATTGCATAAAAAGTGGATCTTGTATCAGTGGAGAATACAAAAATTTGAAATCAGTGACTTGAAATTATCCAAGATTCGTTCAAAAATCTAATGCAGCAGAAAAAAAAGAGATTGTTTCCCAGTGTCATCATTCCAACTTTCAAACACTTGTCGCTCAGCTACAGTGTTTGGGATTAAACTACAACTCTGTTCTGGAACACTATTATATTTTAACTCTTAAATTAGTACAAGTAAATTCAAATCACCTAATGTAGCTTATTATTACTCAAATTTTTCGACCACCTTCCAACTAACTAGAGTTCTCAAATTTAAACTAAAGCTCTATGCTTGATGCAATTTTTTCAAAACGTTCCAAATGTAATATTCATCATTTCGCACACAAACAGACATAAAACTAAAAAGAAAAGAAAAAACAATTAAATAAAGTATTTTTTTCCTTTAAAATTTTTTTTCTTAGAAGGAGACAAAATATAAATTTTTTTTATTTTTATTGGTTTTACAATTTTATTTTTATTTGGCTGGATTATTTGTGTAATAAATTTTTATCACCATCGAAAATCCTCCCCCTACACACTATTACTTGAAAAAGACAGCTTCCGATACATTTTAATTTATTTTATTATTCTTTTTCATTTTTTGATGAAAAACTTGTTTCCAAGTAAGAGACAAAATAAAGGTTTATTTTATTTTAAAAAAGTACAACTTGTTTTTGAAAGAAAAATATCTCTTCCCGTTGAGATGAATATGATGAAATAAGAAACAGAATTGAATACAATATTGTTCTTAAAAGAATGAATTCATTCATTTTGATAAGCTTATGTTTTTGATCAGCAAAAATGTGTTTATCATTTTAAACATCCTCAGTACTTGAAATTATCTTCAAATGAATGATACATGTTGTCTGTTTTTTTAAAAAAAAGGGGGAAATTCCCTTTTATTGTCATTGACCGTTGGCAAGTTTGACCTCGTCGATCTTATCGTTTCTATAAATATTTTGTTCAGCAGAAATACATAAAAATGAGTTTGTAATTTTGGTGGTTTATATTATAAGCTATCTGATATGCATAAGAGCCTTTTTTTTAGTATTTTTTAGTGATTACATAGTGAAGTAGGAATGGTTGAAATTAATTATTTGTTCTTAGGAATATTACTTGGTCAAATGTGTGAGTAATGAAACTCAAAGTCATATTTTTGGCATTTTCTTCTACTTTATCAAAGAATTTTATGATAATTTTTTATTATTTACTTTCATCTGTATAAAGAGAATTCTATGTGGTTTAATTTAAAATAATCCATAAGAGTTGTGATGAATCGAATTTATACTTAATTGGAATTATTCACATCAGTTCCTCAATAGAATTTTTTAAACAGAGTTTCTATAGGTTGCAAGTTCTGTAGGCAAATGCAGGTTAGTTCCAACAAAAAGTCCTCGGCAAATTTCGCCCAATACTTGATCCAGGAGTTCCCTTGTCTTCTGGATTGGGTTCAAAATTACAAAAA